GCTGTCCTCTCCTGGGTGACAAAGGTATGCTGTTTGGTATCCCTGGGTTCGAAATATAATTCTGAATATTAATCTGCCAGTTGTTAAAATACCACCTGCACGTATTCGGGGTTATTAATCTTAGTGTAAAACTGTATTTGGGAATTGGTCGTAAATTTGGTGACCTCCTAGCACCCATCCCTTTTTAACTGGATTTTTGGTCAGTTGGTCTCTGTCCACACCCCATTGATATCATAGAAAGGAACTTGTGAAGAGGGAGCTCTCATTTAACATCAACGAAGAAACATCCTAACGGACTTGAGCCAAAGGCAACATTTTTGCTCAAATGGACTCTGCTAAAACCAAGGACTTTGCAAGTATTCTGTCTTCTTAACTCCTTTCTTTTATTTCTCTGTTGCATTATTCCTTTATTTCTTTGTAACATCCCTTTCTGTAAATATTTTAATTGCACCATTTTGACCTTTTTCGTAATAAACCCTATTTTGAAAATTGTTGAAACTGTCTCAAACTTTTAATGCAAACTAAAGAATCCCGGTCTCTTGAGGAGTGCTACTGTATATAATAATCCTCTGAATATACTTGTCTGTGGTGACAGTGTGTGTTAGACGTTTATTGTTAACCTTTGTTCTTGTTAACCTAGTGAAGGGTTGATAGGCCCAAAGCCATCTGGTGGTAGTTTGGAGCATGAAGGGTTAATTGCGTAATTAACCCAGTGACACTCTCTCAGGCTGCTGGCGCACAGAATGTGGTCCCGCGAGCTGGAAAAGTTTTGTGCAGGGTGCAGCTGAGAGTGGCATTGTTTCACGAGTGACAGTGATGTGAGATTGGCTGGTCCTTTTGTCAAGAGTTGGTGAGAAGGGCAGGGGTTGGGCACCTCGTTTGTCACATATTGCTCTTTCGAAGTTTGATAAAACTTGCAGCAGGAGGGCAGCAAGTTTATTGATTATGAAAAACAAAAATGGCTGTCGCGTCCAGGATCTATGTCCCTATATTGCGCACAATCGTTATATGGGTGACTTACCTGGTGGGTTACAGGGTGTTGCCTAGCCTTTGAGCGACCTTTTTATAGCCAAGTGGGGCTGGGTAATGCGCAGCCTGGGTTGCCCTGAGGGGGCGGAGGGTTTTAACATCTAGCTTGACAGTCCTGTGGGGAAGGGGCAAGGGACCTACCTAGCTTAGGATTTATTTGGGAGAAAGCTTAAATGGGTTACTAGTATGGGACCAGTGGGAAGGGGGGGTTGCTGTGCTTTATTCTCTCCCTTGTAACAGAGACCCCTTGTAAAGGCTGTGGAGAGATTGGATACTGAAGTCCCAAGAAAAAAAAAATCACTTAAGGTATCAAATTTTGATAGTGTTTCATCAAAGTGGAAATTTGCTCATAACATCTTGATGATCAAACGTTCCACATTAATTTACCAAAATGTATGTGCTGGATTTTGAAGAGACCCAGAGCCCGAGCAGCAGTAAATCTTTAGACTATCAACAGATCAGCCTCTACATTTTTGGCACAACTGAGCATGTACAGAGTGGTGAGACAGTGTTACTGGATTTTAAACAGTATATTAGCACTTATTTCTGGTTTGCATGGCTATACCAGCCAAAGGGGCTAATCTAAAGTGATCTAGCAGGACTTGTTTCCTGAATAAAGTTCAATTGTAACCAATTTGGCTCCAGAGCAATGTGTTTCCCCCCCCCCCCCCCCCCCATACATGCAAAATATAATATTCTGGGGGTTTAAGCAGTTTGACAAAATCTTGGGCCCTGTAGAATAAAAAGGTGATGTCACATGATAGTTGCGCAAGTGCTTAAATGCAAATTTTCAAGAAAAAATCAAATGAATTTTAGTGCAAAATCACACAATATATTAAACCCATTTTGGTTAAAATATTAAATAGGTTGCATCGAGTAAATTCTGTCTTAAAATTACGTGCATCTGTGATATTGCCAAAAACTATAGTGCCTAAAAATTTTCAGATTTCACCGCTCTCACACTTTAAATGACAATTGAACGGTCATGCAACACTGTACCCAAACTAAAATGTTATTTTGTTCACACAACTAGAGCATTCTTTTGGTGCTATTTAATCTCCATTGGGGTTTTTATTTTTTGCTAAATTAACAAAAAAAGACTGAACATTTTGAAAATGCCAAAAGTCATGGCGAGTTTTTTTGAAGTTGTAAATTTTTTTGTCAATCTTTTGGAAAATGAAGTTAAAAAAAAAAAAAAAAAAAAAGTATTTTCTTTACTCACTGTCACCAGTGCAGTACAACGTCAGCATATAACTTGTTTGACGGTGATCAGGGACACTGACTTGCGACAGTACAAACAACATTATTTTTTTTTTTTTTTTTTTTTTTTTTTTATAACACTATAACCAAAGTAGTATAATGTTACCATAGTAACATTGTACTATAGGGAAGTGATCAATATTTTTTTTTTTTTTTTTTTTTTTTTTACACAATTTGATTGCTTATTCTTTGCTATAAGCAAGCTTTTAACTGAATGAAATCGGTTCATTCAGGTTTTTTTTGTTGTGATTGGCCACGGCTAATAATGACACAGATGGGCTGTGATTGGCCCAGCCTGTGCATGTGATCGCTGTGACCATTCACAGCTAGAGACAGTTTTATACAATGGATGGCATGAAAGGAAGCCATTCATTGTATACAACTGTCATGTGACCTGCTGTGATTGGTCACAGCAGGTCACATGGTACTGGCAACAGGGCCGGTACACAGATCTGTCATCGGCCGTGTCCTGCGGGCACGCGCAAATCGCGATCCGGGAAGGGACGAAGTGTTCGTTCGCCCGGTCGACATTTGACCATAGGCTGGGCAGCAAGTGGTTAACCACTTGAATACCTGGCACTTATACCCTTCCTGCCCAGGCCATTTTTCAGCTTTCAGCGCTGTTGCACTTTGACAATTGCGCGGTCATGCAACACTGTAGCCATATGAATTTTTTTTTTTTTTTACACAAATAGAGCTTTCTTTTGGTGGTATTTAATCTCGGCTGGGTGTTTTATTTTTTGCGCTATAAACAAAAAAAGCAAAAAATTTGAAAAGTGTTTGCTTCTATTATAAAATTTTGCAAACAGGTAATTTTTCTTCATTGACGAGGCTGCACTGCTGGGCACTTGTGGGCAGCATTGCAGGGTGGCACTGATTATCGGGGCACTGATCTTCAGTGCCGATCCGTCCTCTGACAATTCCCGGTTATCGGCAGTACTTTCTTCACGCTGTGACAGCATAAGGAAAGTGCAGCCGATATCCGACAACTGCATTTACCGGTGATCTGCTGTGTTATTGGACACAGCTGATCACGTGGTAAAAGGCCGCTGTGTTTGGCCTTTTACCACATCACATGATCAGCTGTGTCCATAGAACACAGCGATCATGGAGATTGCCGGGTGCATGCCCTGCGGGAGGGCACGGTCTGGAAGGATGTCATATGACACTCCCAGAATGGGACACCCGCGCTGTCGCAGTCATTCGGCTATAGCGTGGTTGGCAAGTGGTTACAAAAATTTACTTCCCCCCCCCCCCCCCCCCCCCCCCCCCCCCCCCCCCACCACCCCCCCCAATATTTATTATTTGATTAATAAACCCCCAGTGGGATAGATGTGTCTCCTGGCTGGCCAGGGAATGGTGCATCTGAAACTGATTTCACTCCCGGTTTTATTGTTTACATGTGAGACAGAGCCTCTCACAGCGCGCTCATTCCTGTAGCTGGCGGCTATGTACCTGGGCTCCGGTAGGAGCGGGAGAGCCTGGTAACCGCAGGAGGAGTGGGGGCCACCAGTGGAAATCTGGGGGGCATCTTGCTGCCGGCACTGTAAAAATGATAGGCAGGTATGCATCTGCCACATCATTTTCATGTTCAAGCCGGGAGCTGGCTGAACAAAAACCTCACATGCTGGTGGCTTCTACTATTACGACCGAGGAGCTGAACTGGTTAACCCCCCTGGCGGTGTTCCCGAGTGTAGCTCGGGGTTAACTTTCAGCACCAGAAGCGGTAACCCCGAGATACACTCGGGATTACCCTGCAGCATTGCTCTGGGATCCCTCCAGCACTTACCTTGTCCTGCGCTCCCGCGAAGTCCCCCCTGCAGCGTCCCCAGCAATGTCCTCCGGCTTTTGCCGGCGTCCAGGTTCTGTTCCCTGCAAGCATCGGGATGTACGGGGGACGGAACCGGCGGGAAATTAAAAAATGTGACATTCACTCAATACACTTAAATCTTATCGTATTACATTACTGTATCAAACCATTTCACATACATTTTGTCTCCAGTGCTTTGTCCTGTGCCCTGCCTGCATTTTTACTGTTTTCTGCCTGGAAACTGAGAAATGTCCATGGCATCCAAAAAGCATCTCTTTAGCTCAACTGCGGTTTTAGACCAGCTAGAGAACAGTGTTAGTAAATTAGAACTACTTGCAGAATTGAGTGATAATTATTCGTGGGGAAATTCGTCATCAGACACTGAAAACGATTTTGCGCCTGAACTCAGTGATGTGCGAACTTGGCGCTATTTCAAATTTCAGTGTTTTTGGTTTGATTACATTATTGAATTAAATGTATTATTAGATTATTTTTTATGATTATATTATAATTTATGCTTTTCGTGTTTTTCAAATTTTTTCATACTCGGGTTTTTTACTAGGCTCTTGTTCAGACAGATTTCAGTGAGTTATTCCTTAGAATTACAGGCCAACAATAAAAAAACATATTTCCATGGAAAACAATGTGCCGCTTTGAGCACAGAAATACTGACATAATCAGATCGCTAGGGAGGTTAAGGAAAAGCTGGTGTGGCAGCTTTAATCAGCATTCTGCTGTTTACACGTGGTAACAATGAGTTTATTCGATGTAATCTATGTTGGACTCTAATGGCATATTTAGCTAATGTAACACCAATAAATCTGCCATTTAGAATGGTTCCCATTTTATATTATGAAAACCTTGATTTCCTTTCTACTTTTAACAGAAACGGCCGCCAGCGATGACTTCTTTAGCGCATCAACTAAAGCTCCTTGCTTTGCCACAGACTGACCCCAGCTTGATTTACCGGAAACAAGTTGCTTCTCTGCTGTTTGAAGTCAAAGAAGCTGCAGTCCTTGATAGAGAAACCTTTTTTGCTATTGGTAAGTTGATATGCTAAGTTGCATTACATGTCTATAAATCGCTGTGAAACTCAAATGAGAATGGTGACCCAAACGGAGTAGGATAAATCAAGGGAGGCGTGGTAGTCAACAGTCATACCTATTAAAGTAGACCTTGCACTAGTAAAGGAAAGTCTGCTTGTTTTTTCTTAATCTCTTACCGCAGGACAAAGATTTTCAGTGGGAAAGGCTAGGTTCACTGTTCACCCATCCTCCTTTTTTTTTTTTTTTTTTTTTTTTTTTTTTTTTTTTTTTTTTTTTTTTTCTTCCTTCTAAAATTCCAGCTCTCCTATGTACCAATATAAAATTAATGTTCTTTTTCAGACATTCAAAAGCTTTCCATTTATTCTGCATATGCTTACCTCAGGGGTCAGATGGCTGTATACAAAAGCTTCCATATTACTTCTGCCTTCCTGCAGAGACTTTAGGTCATGACACAGGCAGGAATTCACCAGCTGACCTCATTAGCACACATCCTGCATCATCTACCCATCACCCACTTCCAGGTACACATTTATTAAATGAAATGCAATCAGTCAGTGATCACTGTTCTCATTAAATACACAGGCATCATTTTTTATTTTTATACCTTAACTTTCAATCATGCATAGATTGTTCATTTGGCAGAGTGTGCTGAGTGATATGTTGATAGAGATGTAGTACTGAAAACAGGAGAATTTTGTCTTCTGGGCTCTGTAAATCTCACTCTACACTATACAATCTGATTGTACAATTTCCATTAGCTCTACCATCAACTATGTAGTGCAAAGGCATGCCTGATTGGATAATGTCTCCTTCTATTATATAGTTTTATTAAATCTAAAGGAGAGTGCAGAGATTGTATAATATATGGCCACCTTTATACACCTAAAATGAACTGGTGTTTTTGGTGCCATTAGTTAACAGCACACAAAAGCAAACACGCATGTTTCCATGTGAAAAAAAACGAGTGGCAATCGCACCAAAACACACAGTAAAAAATGTGCAACCCTCACCCCTCCAAAATGTCCTATGAGCCACATGTAGCGCAGCCCACTGCAATCAACAGGCTGCCCTATGTGTGTCACGGGTAAAAAAAAGCCAAAAAAACTGCACTCCCTAGGTGTGAATGGGGCCTGAAAGTGAAATTGGTGTGTTTACACGATTGGGCTTCAATCAGATCTGTTAACAAACACATGGCAAACTGCACAGAAACTGCACGCTTCTGTTACGAAAAGTGTTACGAAAAGTTGCACCCAAACACATAACCCATGTCCCCCTAAAAAAAGAGGCCCCCCACATATAAACATAAACACAGACGTCGGGACCCCTATGCTTGAAAACATCAATTGCAATACACACGTTACATATCGCTGTGCACGCCAGAATGAGAGCAATAATTCTAGCACCAAACCTACTCTGTAACGCTGAACTGGTGTAGCCTATATTTTCTATAGGCAACACTTAAAGTTTGTTGCCATTTCACAAGTGCATGCTAATGTAAGGTTTGACATGTTTGGTATCTATTCGGTGTAACCTCATCTTTTATAAATTACCAAAAAATTGGGTAATTTATTACCTTCCTGTACTTTAAAATTAATTTAAGTTTTTTTTTTTTTTTTTTTTTTTGTGTGTGACTCCCTAGACCTTTACAGTAATAGTGTGTGACATAAAATATTTGAACTACCACTATTTTATTCTCTAGGGTGTTTTTTACTTTCAGAAAATATTTTCTGTTTTGTGGGGTTTATTGTCTTCAGGCTTAGTGATTTTTGCACTTTTTTTTAAAAAAAAATCAGCAAAAAAGGCTCTTGCAGTGAAAGGGATAAGTTCGCCTTTGGGAACACTTTACATGTTCCATCCACTTTTTTTTATCCAAGCCCTCTGTGTGACAGTAGTAGTAGAAGTTCCTTGAACCTGGCTGTCACGTTTTGAGAATCAGTTACAAGTTCTTTGCGATTGTCTGTCTGCTTGTAGTTCTTAATGAACTACCATGGTGCATTTCAGCGCTCAGCTAGCTCATTGATTCTTCCTGTCAGTGTTAAACTGCTTTCCCATATGAGGGCCAGACAGATTACACTGACAGTCTGTAGGAGTCCTGCATTACACCCAGGATCTGCTGATCGCTGGTGCAGTGCCTTTTCAGGCTTTGTTTTTTTTTTTTTTTTTAAACAAACAAAAAAAAAGGTGAACTTATCCGTTAACAGAATGGAGACCAGAGCATGATTACTCTGCTCAGCATGATACAGCAACGTGAGTGTAAACTGAAGAAATCATTTATTTTTTTTCCCTCTCAGTGGGACCTGCGCCTTAGTTACTCACCTAGCAGATGCACTTCTGCTGAGCGTTAGGATCCTGACACTCCCCTTTTTTGATGAGCACCCAGTCGGTTCTTCTCACACTGCAAGGTCTCTTCCTTCCTTGCTAGTCCCCGAGTTGCGTTGCTGGAGACAGGGAGGTGAGGAGAAGATTAAACAGCACAGTGTTAAAAATATTAAAAGTTTAAGTTGCCATAAAGCCCCTTGTGTTTTTTGAAAGCCCTAGACATTCTTAATAGCACCTCAGATTTAAATACAGTTTTGGGTAAAATTCATCATTTATTTATTTTTATCAGACAAGTAGATTGTCATGAGGGACAAGTAGATTGGGACTGCGATTTAGTCCCTTGGGCAAGTAATTTTTTAAAAAATTCCACACTCCTGAGATTGGGTAGGGTGTGTAACCACAATGACCATACACATGTCTTATGCACAGAAGCCATTTTAGGTTTGAAAACCATGGGGGTCGAACCATGTAAACAGCAGCTCAGTGGTGGGCAGCTACAGCGTATTTCTGACAACTGCAGTGCAGCAGCACAGGTGCTTCTGCAAGTATTGGAACACTTGTTACAAGGAAGAGACGTGCCACATGGGTGCCTGTAGCCTTGGCAGACACTCCTTTCAGCTGGGTGGATGGGTTTACAGGCTCATTGACGCACTGCAAGTCATGGCATTATACAGGAAGAGGTAAGGGGTGGGTTCCCAAATCCCTTTATTGGGTTGGGAAGACTCCCTGTATAGTTCACTCTATAATGGATCTCAAAGGAGCTTGGCTCTGAATCCCTGCATTTATTTAGTATTTCCACTGTTTCAGGGGCCCAGTTCTCCTGTAACTTTGTGGCTAGGGAGAAATTTGACAGCCATTTCTTCCTGGCATGAGTATATCTAAGGGCTTGTCATTGGTTTGAACACCTGGGATGCAAATGTGGACTATTTCCTAAGGTGGTTTGCTCCACCTTAATCAGAATTCTTAAAGTGGTGTCTAAGACACATTTTAGAATTTGGATGTGCCTCTACTACAAATGTCAGTACAGGTGACCCTGATAGACTGTTAGACAGATACATGAATCTGGAGCATGAACCATGTGTGGAGGCACACTGAGGCTGATGTGTACACATGAACATGCCAAACCCTGTGCTACTGCATTTCCTCCTGCATCTGTCACACATAGTGGCAGGAAATTTTGAAGCTGAATGGGTGAGTTCTTCCTCAATGTGCTTTTATCTGCACGAACCCGTCTGTGCTCTGAATCCGCCACAAATCTCTTAATAGTGCAATGATCACGCTTAAGTTTTCATGAAATATCTAATGTTTTCATACCTCGTCCAAGGCATTGAACTATTTCACTCTTTTCGGCAGCAGAGAGATCCTTTTTCTTCCCCATATTGCTTGAAAATGGTGCTCTGCTTAATAATGTGGAACACCCTCCTTTTAGTAGTTTTTCTTTAAATTGGGCTCACCTGCCAATCTAATTCACAGGTGTCCGAGATTGTTTTCAGTGATCAAAAGAGCCATGAGACACAATGCCATTGATGAGTTAAACTGAAAAACAAAATATTTAATCTTTGTGACACTTAAATAGAATTTGCATAATAATTTGGAACAGGGTATAATGTTTGGGGTTTAAATTTATTTCCTAGCAAAAAATACTGTTTTTTTTTTTTTTTTTTTTTTTTTTTTTTTTTTTTTTTTTTCTCTCATGTGCACAAAAAGTGTCAGAAAAGGCTTGGTCTTCAGGTGGTTAGAAGAGTGAATGTGTGGCATAAACTTCTAATGTTGGGCATAAAATGCCCCCACCCCCCAAAATGACCCCTTTTTGGAAAGTAGACCCCTCAAACTATTTGCTGAGAGGCATGTTGAATCAATAGAATTTATTTTTTTACTACAAATTTTTGGAAAATTAAAATTTTTTTTTTTTTACACAAATTTGTCATTTAAAATGATTTATTGCTCACACATGTCATGGGTATATGTGGAATTACTCCCCAAAATACATTCTGGTACTTCTCCCGAGTATGGGGTACCACATGTGAGAGACGTTTTGGCAGTCTAGCCAAGTACAGGACCCCAAAATCCAATAAGCACCTTCAGGCTTTAAAATGGCTTTATTTCCTCATTACACTTCCTGATTACCTATCATAGTATCGGAGGCCCTGAAATGCCAGGATAGCACCAACCCCCGCCCCCCGTCCAAATGACTACTTTTTGGAAAATAGGCACCCTAAGGAATTTGATAAGAAGCATTGTGAGTATTTTGCAGATCTCGTTTGTTGCCACAAGTTTTTGGAAAATAAAAAAAAAAAACCCAAAAACTTATTTTTCTTTTCTTTTTTTTATATTTCAAAACCTTGTGAGAAAAAAATGAGATCAGCAAAATACTCACCATGCCTCTTTTTAAATTCCTCGGGGTTTCCAAAAAGGGTTAAATTGGGGGGGTTTTGTGCTATCCTGCTATTTCAGGGCCTTTGAAACTGTGATAGGAACTGATTAAGTGCAATGAGGAAGTTACGCACCTTCAGGCTTTCAAAGTGGTCATTGGATTTCAGGCTCCTATATGTGGCTAGGCTCCCAAAACGTCCCTCACATGTGGTATCCCTATACTCGGTAGAAGTAGCAGAATGTATTTTAGGGTGTAATTGCACATATACCCATGGCTTGTACAAGAAACATATCATTTAAATGAC